CGGATCGGTTTAATCTTAAACTAATCTGGTGCGTGCCGCCCTTAATTCCTTTGTGTGGGATGGGTTAAGTGCACGAGAGAAGGAATTTGTCGGAATTGCACGTAGTGGGAGGAGATTTGCGTCCATAGATTGGCAACATTGGGATCGGCAACTTTGGGCCCTTTTGCTGAGGGCTGGTGAAAATTTAAAATGGTAGAGACTCATATCTGGGATTCGATGGAATTCCATGCCTTCAAAATTTGAAAGTCTGAACAATGGTCATATATAAACGCCTTCTAGCACAAGGATGACCAGTAACACGGGACCTCGCGACGGGCCCGAGACGAAAGCCGAACTGAACGCAGATCAGCCGTTGGGAGTCGGGAAGCTCCAGATGCGGGCGAAATCTCAGAGCGGGCGGAAAGCCAAGAGCCTTGCAAAACGGGTGAAGGAACTAGTGACGAGTTGACAAGGATGACAGACAGAAAGCGTTCCCAGCTACCTCTCCAAAACTTGAGAGACAGAATGGTATCTATTTCGGTCTTGTGCTTGTCAGCAGCAGCGAGAGTATATGTCCAGCAGGTCAAACCTTTCCATTTCGTGCTTCTAAGACGCGTCTAGAGCCTTTGCTCGAGCTGCAGCGAAGCGGAAAAGGCGGCGTGATTGAACTTCAGCGAGCGAAAGAAATTCCACAGCTTCACCAAGGCGTTCTGGGAAATCACTCGAATGGACCGACAAAGGCAGACAACGTATTCTGCGGAACATCAAAGACCAGAGGTAACGGAACTTTCCGAGAATTCTTAATTCCATCCACAGCTGACGCTGACGAATCCGACTCGGAGCCTTCTAGGTCAATATAATCCCAAGATAGGTCGCCATCTTCAATCGACAAACGATGAGCGAGAAGTTACCCATTGGTATCTTCTTTTCTGCCCTCGAGCAGTGAGTTCGCAGAAGGGGGAAAGTGCTGTGTGGTTGCAGAGGGCGATGCGGAAAAGGAAAGTGTGGACTGGCATCAATATATATGGTCTGCGATTATCTGCGGTAACAAATCCCAGAATCTTAATAACAACCTTCGTACATGCATATGTTGTTTACAGCGTTTCCAAATTGCGTTTGCCCGGTGCTTTCTGCTGCAGGCTTTTATTCGTGAAACTCAACAATTACAGCTGACTCTGATATACGCCTTGAAAGTGCCATAGGCCAGGTCGAGATGGATTACAGAATCATCTGAGAATACGTCGAAATCAAAGGGATGAAACCGTATCACGTCGACGGGGTTGAGTAGCACTCGCGGTAGTGACATCTAGCCACTGCTGGTTAAGATCCACGTGGATGACAGCTGTGGCTAGCATGCATCTAAATTGTGGCAGAGGAAGATTTGGTTTTCATTTTTTTCCCGATTGGTCCATAAAAAATCAGGGATTCGATGCGAACGAAATGCAAACTCAAGGCGAGATCTCTGGCTATGTGCCGAGATTATGACACGATCCGGAAGTAGGAAGATGGCGCCGATCACATTGGTTGAGCTACCCGACCTCGTTCTGGAGAAAATCTTCGGATACCTATCCTACGACGAAATCGCGTTGAAACGACTGGTAAGCATGCTTTTCTTGATGCTTCAAGGACTGAATTGGCTGGCAAGGTAACTTGGCTCCCATTAGGCTACCAGAAGTGCCATGGCTTTTGCAATATTCATGCTGACGTTCGGCCTGTGGTCTGCTAGAAGTTTTAAATATTTGTTAGTCAGATGCACTCTTAAATTGTTTTGAGTCCATTTATCACATACTAGAGAAGGTACGCCATCCACCACACATGCTTACAGCATCTGGGGGGTGGAATGCAGCCCTTGATCCAGCTACATCCAGGGCAGCCCACATTATAAATATATCCAGGGGAGTTGTCTTTGCCTAGTTTTGCAGGTTCCCGTCTACCCAATCATTGGGCTTCTTAACTGATTGAAACTCTGGTGATGTGGATGAATAATAAAGAAGGAAAAAGTGTGAATGCAACCAGGGATGAAATGTGCAATGTTCGACAGACATCCAAGTCGTAGGTGATGTACTTGTTGGCTCTCACCTGCAAAAGATGGACAAGCAGTAGGAATGTGAAGAGCATTGAAGCCATGGTGTTCATGATATAGCCATTGTCGTTTTTCAACTGTCAGTGGAAGGTGTGTGGGATGCAGGTGGAAAGCTCACTTTTCATACTGAATTGTACATTCTCGATGCAAACTATAGGTGTACTCCAGCGAGGACAGCATTTAAGTCAGCATATTTGAGTTATGCATCTTAGCATCATGAGGATACAGAATGGAAAATGCAAGGCTAGCAGATGCTTTGTTCTCCATGTTGTAGTCACTTCATGTGATAGATACAAGGACCATCAACAGCAATGAAAACACTCAGAGCAACTGTTAGTGATATCACATCATCTTTGCTTGATGTTTCTGAGGCTCAAGAAGTGTGAGGTTTGGAGGTCTTAAGGGGCTGTACATGAAAATCAGAACCATTGTTGCCACATTAATAAAATAACAGAAGTAAAGTTATCTTAGGCTTTTTTTCAACATGGGCGGAGGAGGTTTTCCCATTCCAACATGGCTGTGCAAAGTCACTATGCAAATCTGCATGATTGTTGAGGGAGAGCTAGGAGGTATATGAAGGAATGGGACTGAGAGGAGGGAGAACCATGCATGAGAGAAGCATGTATGCTTGTCTGGTCTTTGTACATCCCAACCTTGCATGGTACAGTTGGGGTGCCCCAGGTGGGTTTGGCTCTGATATGTGGGGGTATGTATCTTAGGAACTAATATCCAGGTTCTTTGGATTTTTATAGAAATAAAATTGAGAGACTTAGGGTGAATTTTTGAATAGAGAACTGTCCGATGATGCTGGTTTATTTCCAGGAAATATAATGTATTTTCCTCAAAATAAAGCTGCATTATCAGAAAGTTCCCAGTTCAAAAATACACCCTTATTGGTAATTACTAATAGTTAAAGAATCAGTAATAGGCAACAGATAAAAACCATGAAATGCCAGACATCTTCAGACTTGAAGCACCAGATGATTGGTCTTGTATTTAGGCCTATTCCATCCTCCATGGTACTTAGCTCTAGATAGTTAACAGAAACCATAGAAAATTTCGCAATGTTGATGGTATTCATGCCAGAGATCACTGCCACATTTCAAAACTCCAGAGTTGCATGCAGTGCCCACTATAGTTCTATAGGCTCATAGTCCCTCAATGTGCTATCATGAGTAATCTCATTAATAGGAAGCATATACTGTTTCTGAAAAAATATAGGTCTGCCTGCTGGGACTGTGATAGTATATGTTATTACTAATCTTATCACTTTCTTTACCATTATAGGTGTGTAGCAGGTTTGATGAGGCATGCCAGGCTCTACTGAACAAGGGATTTCGCTCTGTGACGCTTTATCATGCCAAATGCACACGGGAGATCAAAGCCCGCTTGCCACGAAGGGAATCCGAGAGGCGCTTACATCCCCTTGCTCGTCATGTGGACATTTTAGCAGCAGTTGAGACACGACTTTCACTCTTGGGTATGACCTATATGAAATATGTGGACATGAAAATCTGCTGCTTCATCCCAGGCAAAGTGAGATTGACTTTGAACTACTAGAATCAGCTGTATTGTATTAGTTTGATGATTGTGCTCTTAAATATACTTCCATGACAGGTTCTAGATGAGATATTGCATGTCTTATGGTCAGTGGAGACAAATCCCTCCCCTCCTCGTTCGGGTGAAATCCTGCAAGAGCTACGGGATATTTCTTCCATGGCAATGGAGCACTTTGATGAGAAAATTGTGCCAGGACTTAAAGCCAAAATGGGTGTGGGCTCAAGTGACTATCGTTCCTCAGGGCTAGTTGGTAAGGAACTAACCCCATTTATAATAAGTATTATTCCAATATGACTAAAAAAAACTTATATATTTGATCACATGTGGGATATCTCTCTTTAAGATGACTTTTATCATTTCAGCAGCATCTCCTGTGTTGGCAGCCTTACTCCAGCCTTCCAGTGTTGACACAAGCCCATATGGTGGTTCTTGCATTCCAAGCACCTCTGCCTCTGCCAGCAATATGAGACAGATCCCTCTCCCTCATTCTACTAAGCAGATGCTCAAGAGCTGGTTGATGTGTGAGATGACCCGCTTGGTCGAGTCCAACACAAAGTTGCTACGCAAAGAGTTTTCAGACCAGGTGACAACTTCTATCTAATCATGCACCCTTGCTTTGCCTAGGCCAATGATTTTTGGAACCCTAACTTCTGGTTCACTCTTTCTAGGCCTATAAGGATGATTTTGTTTCCATATTTCTCAGGAAGACTTATGTCTCATAGCAAGTCTCATAGCTTGAAATGCCAATGAGAATACATACATTGAAAGATTTGACTTTTGCCATGTAGGATTTGTGCACATTAAAATAAGACTCAACTATGATTTTGGATCTCATGTCATCAACATCGTACATAAATTCCTTATTTTCTATTTAGGCAAACAAACTGGACAAAAAGTTTGAACATCAAATCAAGGCACTTGAAGAGAAGATGAATGATGTGAGTTGTCAGAGTGATATCCGCACGGAGTTACAACGCATTCAAGAGGACGTCCGAGCAGAATTGAGCCGTGTGAGGGAAGATGTGATGTCTGGCCTTGTTGCTCCATTGAGTGAGCAGGGAGTCCCCGCTCCCCGTCCACCGTTGCGACGTCGGGCGGGCACCTCTTACCACGCTCCATCTAGGCCTATCCTTTCCACTGCAGTTCCTTCTGTTTCTGGGAAAGAGCCATTGGATGTGAATAGGAAACGTCGTGCTGCAGCCCTTGCCGGTGATGCCAAGCGCAAGATGATGTCAACTGACCACTAAGTATATGATCTGGTTGTGATTGATATGAGTGATACTTTGAGTTTATTCTCCCTTCATTGCTGTTGCTTGAATGGTGATGGACTGTGATGAATATGCTGGAATAATGGTAGATGCACTTAATATCATTTTCATCATGGTTCATTGCATTATGTGACAGAGAAATTAACGTATTGTGATTGAAAGATTAAGCATGGCACCGGTTCAGCCTTCAGATCATTTATTATTTGCAATGCATACTTCATGGAAATTGTCATTGTATGGCCTTTGATAGAAGAGTAACTGCATGGTTGCATGCCATAAATACAAAGTTATTTTTTTCTTAGTGAATTATGAAGGCCAGAGGAATTTAAAAGTCCAATCCTTTCATAAAGATTTATTTATAGGAAAAGAACAGAGTGCACAATTCAGCATAGACTGACATCATCTATATGTATACCCTTGTCCTGAGTCCTTTTCCTGTGTCTCTGTTTCTTAAATTGCATAAATGTGTGTGTAGGAGAAAGAAAATGTAGTGTCCTGACCTATCAACAGACTGTCTCCAGGGAAGATTATTTGCCATCATACACCATAGTCACAAGAATGATATGGATGGTTTGCATGATCATGTACTTTTAAAGTTCCTCATTCTTGACTCCATCTCATTTAAAAATGACTTGCTGGTATTGGATCAAGGAGAATACTGTGATGAAAGTGTAGTGATGGTGTAATAACATTCGAAATGAAAGAAATATACTTATTTCCTCTTTCTGGATGAATAATGCCAGAGGGAACTTGAAGTTTGAATCCCTTCTAACACCTTCTAACAAGTCACTGCTCTCGGTCGACCGACACGTCCTTCTAGAGTAGCCGTAGTGTTGGAGCGGTGCCTCAGACGCTCCGGCCCATACAACACAATGTGTAACAATATGAAAGAAGTTCACTGAAGTTCGAAGAAGAGTTCGAAGCTCAGGCTTTGCAGATTCTCGATACGATGGAAGTGACATGAGTTCGGAACTAATCGTCTCCACAGTCAAAGCACTGAGTCGCAAACGCAAGGCATCGACGTTTTGATTGGAAAAAAAAGTAGTTCCTAAGCCTTTTCTATTTTTTTTTTTTTGAGGCGCTTGAGTTCTCTCCTGAACACAGAGGCTGGGAAATTTTAAAATCAATGGTGTAACTATGAAGTGTCGTATAACGTTAAAAATGAATACAAGCATGAAAAAAGTGGTACGACTGCATCCCGCACGAATACATTAAAAGTTGACAAAGATCCCCTTCAACACTCGACCACTCGCCTTTGGAATCACGAGAAAAGCAGTTGCGCTCCGTGTCGAAGACCACGAAGAAGCCGGAGCCCTTCAAGGCCCCCTCATTAGTAGTATTAGGGAAAAGTAGGATAGAAAGTTGTGCGGTTCGTAGGTTCGAGGGTTTCTCGTGTCTTTTTTTTTCTGCCCCTCTTTAATCTTCAACATGGAGCAAAGTTCTGTCGCCTCTTTTCACACGATTTAAAGGCGATCTTCTGTTCAATTAGTGGTTGGAAAACTACAGGTACCACCACAAATTGCTAGACTTATCAGTCTTATTAAATTTCTGTCTACTTTCAATGAACTTCATCCTGTCTCGCTGTATTGCCACTTTTATTAGCACATTTTTCAGTACTAATTAAATTTTAAGATTTTAATGGGTCTGCCCGCGCCAAGTGATCCATAAAACGACCTTTAAAATGAAACTTCAGCAAATTTGTTTATATTCATGCAGGAGTTTATCATCTATAGATCCTAAGTGCACGAACGAATTGTAATATTCGTTGCGAAAATGAAGGAACTAAGCTAACTCTTTGGGATCATTCGTGTGACACGCGACCGAAAATCAAACCTGCCGACACCGCCAATCAGAATCTGAATATTTGAATGTTTGGCAACTATTATCTTAATATACAAAAGAATTATGCATAATCTCATCTTCTCCCATCCGGCACAATTTGGCCTCAGCTCATCGAGTGTCGGATGTGAAATCCTAGTGCAAAATCCATGCCAATTTGAGTGCTAAATTTTTGGAAAATTGGCATTGCAGTGATGCCATAATCCGTTGATAAGCTGATCTAGCCGGATAATCCCCTCCCAAATCCAAACATCGGAAGCTGGCGAAAATTCATTCCGATCCAGCAAAGTCTGAGAGAATGTGGAAATTCGAAAAGCCCAACTGATCTGACTTGCAAATCGAGCCGTCTCGAAAGAGGCGTGTGGAGATTCTGGGTGAATTAATGACGCAAGGAAAATGAATAAATGTGGGAAAGAGGGACGCAGCGACTGCGAAGGCAGCAGATGGATCCGAGAAAAAACTTCAGAAGAAACATTTTCATGCAAAACATGAAAATGAGGCATAAAAATGAGGCATAAAAATGAGGCATAAAAATGAGGCATAAAAATGAGGCTTGAAAATGAGGCATAAAAATGAGGCATGAAAATGAGACTCGCCAAAACTCAGAATTGCATTTCGGCTCTTGCCTGCCGTGTGGATTTCGATTGCAGCACGAATCTCCCTGCAAATTTTGCAAGCGAAACTGCATCGTCGGATAGCGCCCTTCACCACAGACCCACAACACGATGCAACAAACTGGACCGCCCGGAAAGCGGCCCACTTCGGTCGACCGAAAAGGTGCCACCCTCCTGCCCGACCTCGTGCCCCCCAAAAAATCGCTCAAGAAAAATAAATCGAGCTCCGATGGGAAGTCCTGCCGCCATCCACCCCATTCACCGGACCCGGCTCACCGGACCTCACCGGACCCCGCTCACTTAGAAGCCATTTAAATGGGAAACAGTGCAGCAACGAAGAGGATCTCGAATCTGGTCTGACCGCGTTCTTTGCTTCGAAACAGGCCGATTTTTATGGAAAATGAATTTTAAAAAAGCCGAAAGATGTGGGAAACGGTCGTTGCAAGTGATGGAAATTACGTTGTTCATTAGACCGTTGAAATTTTTAATTAAAAAAGTTGCTTTCGAAAACTAATTTGATAAAAACGACATTACTTTCCGAGCATCCTAAATATATGTCCTATAAATATATATCCTAAATAAACTTCATGGCGAAAGTGAACGTCGATATTGCGAAATGACTTTGGCGAAAAGTTACCGAATCCCGCGTTTGACCGAGCCGAGAATTTTGCCAATTTGCGAATGGCATTGTCTCGGGAGGAAGACGGTCGATTTTTTTCCCCCGAAATTTGATTCGGCGGTAAATTCTCAAGTTTCGAAATCTGAGCGAACTCAGCTGAACAGTTCGACATTATCCTGCCGATTATTCTATTTCAGTGCTCGCCTGAGCATAAATAAATATATATAATTATTTTTTTTAAACATCCATCACGTTTTCGGCACGCGTCACATCCGACACGGTCGAAGAATTATCATGATTGCTAATAGCAACGAAAGGGAAACCGACACGCAGTCAACGTTCTCATTTCATCCATTGAATGAGGATTCTAAATCGACAATCCCCCAAACATCCTTTCAACCGCAAAACCCATCGATCCCCCCCCCCCGCCCTCCCTGCCCCCTCTGCCCCCTCTGCCCCCCCTG